GAGAGTGAGAGAGTGAGAGAGAGTGTGTGTGTTTGTGTATGCGTGTGTTTGTGAGTATGTGTGTGTGTGTGTGTGTGTGAGTGTGTGTGTATATATGTATATATGAATATTCGTTTATATCATCACTCACTCACTCACTTCACACGCACCTACCCTCGGCAGCTTCCCGGACAGTGTCCCGTGCAGTTATGTACGCTCTGAAGGCCCATGGTGGTGTACAGGAGAAAAGAGTGGATGTATAATGCTCCCTGTAGCCTGATAAGATGAATCAAAGTCTGTTGAGAAGTGTGTAAGCAACAGTATTTACATTGGCAGCGGAAGCCAAGTTCGGAGACCTGAATCAGACAGAGTCCCGTTGGGTACGCTGACGGATGTGTTGTACTACATTGTACAGGCTACGTTAATGAGATTGACACGTTTGACGGATTGCTGATACTCGTCACAGGTGTACTCAGACAAAGCTATGCATACTATACCCTACCTAAATACATCAAGACGCTTCCTAAAAATATCTTGCTAGTAAATACATATATCTTATGGTCTGATATATCTGCTATCTACATCACTGTCAACTATGGTAAGTGTAGATGTGTATGTTCTGACCTGACAGACCTCCGATGGGTGCACCACACGCAATAAGAGTACGGCAGTATAGAACCGGTTGTATCCGAGCTGTGATCGTGTTGTACTCTATAGTCAACTGCATTGCAAATTTTTCCGAGAACGAGTGCAGCATATGTGGTGCACCATCTTTAGCACTGACAGTGTGCGATCCTTCAAAGAATGATTGTTAGTGCAACTGCCCTGCGAGAATGGGAAGTGATTGGCACGCACTATGTGCACCGACACCGCATTCCTACAGGGTATGTAGGGAATTATTTACCTTCAAACCTATCATTATGCGCAATTCTAGTACTCTAATAGACCAATGAAAGTGAAACTATGTATATCGTCCGCATTCATACAGAGTGTCCTAGAGAATAGCTACCTTCGATGCCAATAGATGACACAGTTTTAGTGCTGACGTCTTGTGACTACAATTAACACCATGCACCTTGCATCATGTACATAGGCACGCATTCCTACGGGATTCTAGGCATATAGTATCCGTCAATTCAGCTGTATAAGTTTCTGGGATATACGAATACCTTGCTGCATTTATATCGACCGCTATAAAACAGATGTGTTGTAGAACCAAGCTGCAACCAAGTCTATCACATATCACATTTTAGAACAAGTGCAGCACAACCTTTTCTTACCAGGAGTGCAGCATATACGATGTATCATCTTCAGCTCTGCCACAGTGTTGTCATCTAAAAGATTCTCAACCGCGAATCTGCCCTTCGGAAGGGACATATGTGACATTTCGGACAATAGATTAGCAACCGTGATGAGAATATGAAACAACCTAAAGAATAGTACTATACGTTGGTGAACATGTAATGCTTGTCTGCGTCGGCCATCGTTGTTTGTAAAGTTTAAATACGTCTTACACGGGTTTTTGACTCAAGCACCCCATGTAGGCCTAATCTTTACACTATTGAAAAGGCTACGGATATAAGCAGCCAATAGTAGTAGATCTATGATACATCAATAACTCGTCAAGGGGGTCTAGATTTTCTCGAAGAACATGGTACAACTCTTGTACTGGTTAGAACCTTCGCATATTTCATAGATGCTGTACCTCGTTACAGTTTGCACCCCGACGACTGAAAGCTCTTAATGTGCTATGAACAAAGCAACAGTACAAGATAAAGCAAAGCGAGATACAACCTTAGTTCACCAAACATTATTAAATTATGCAGTTTCGTTTATTGTCGCGTCTCCGCCGCTGCTTGTGGTTCTTCTATAATTCTTCGATTTCGATAACTAATAAAACTACAGTTCGTATTTCTTGAAGAGGCCCAAAGCTAGAACAAGCCTAAAGAATATCAACTGAAGCAACGATACGTTTACCGTATGGAAACATACATTCGCCCCCCTACTAGCATTACCAATAAGAATCTACACTAAGCGTACATATCGGTGCTTTCCACTTCTTACTCTCTCTGTATACCATAGGCTCTGGCGGTTCCATGTTATGCTCCCTACATATGACGTGCATACCAATCGTCGCAGAACATCTCCAGATTGAACAGACTTAAATTAAAGCTCATACAGACAGATGCAACAAACTATTCCGAATTGCGGACTTTCCAAAGTACGCTTCATATGCTAACAATACAGGCATCGATATATAACTCTCGTATACAAACACAACAAGCTATTCGTTTATAAAAATATGCTAAAAAATTACATTACAACTTCATAAATTTCGATAAACACCTCGGATACAGTGTATACATCAATAGCATTGAACAAGGTGACAGTCCATACGTAAACACAACAACTCGAGAGCAATAGCTTCCAGACAACAACTCGCACGATTATGTGAACAAACGATCGACAACGCCTTCAACGTTTTCGGCAGATAGTAGACACATAAATGACACTATAGACTGAATAATGTTTGCTTGAAAAATCGTTCGAACTACAATATAATATTATACAAATTAAGTCTAACATTTATATTTAAGCCATGTTCTTGATTCCGATAGCGGCCTCCTCGTTCATAGCGCTGATAACTGTGATCTGAATGTCGGTTCCATCGTCGAAAGAATCTTGAATCTGCTTACCAAGATCGTTATCGGGTAACTTAAGGTCATCCTTGGTGGATCCATCATCGTTCTGTTCGCGTTTAAAATAGTGAAAAGTCAGTGTGTTTGCCTTAAGAGTAACGAAAAGTCTGTCTGTTTGCGTATAGAATAACGAGAAGTCAGTAATCAGATGTTGATAAACTTCCAAAAACTGATGAAAACTACTTGCCCAGAATTACAAAGTCAGTGGAGCTAACTTACCATTAATGACAAGAAACCATCATCGATGTCCAAAAGCTGGAAATCACGACGCTTTACGATAGGCACCTCCATGTTGTGTGTGGATGGCGACATATCTTCGAGCTTCTTGCCAGTGAAGATATCAATAGCAGTCATGTTCACCTTGGCGTGACCGTGCTTTCCAGTCTTTGAAGTAGACATATCTACGATACGGCAGGGACGTCCCTTGATGATAACATGTCCACCCTTTCGCAAAGCGGAACACTGGATAGGGAAAGTCAAGGCAGATCCTGCATCACCTCCTCCAAAATCGTGGTCAATACCTTCGTCAGCCATTTTGATGAGTGTAGATGTCTATAATAGCGATTGGGAAGAGGGTATAATATACATTAATTTATACGTCAATATATGAATTGTTGTACACTAAGTATGTAAATATGACGCACAAGAAAACCAAAAAGAGGACAAAAAATTATACGGCGCATATCGATCAAATTGGAACATTACAACATATCTAGCCATATATACGACGAGCAGACAATACAGTGCTCTTCGCGCCGGGTAAAAGCTACTGTAACTATGTTAAAATGTTGTTTACCTTATGCAATCCTTACAAAACTGAACTGCAAATTAACATTACACGCGTGTTGAATATCGTATCCCATTGTGTTTACCGCTTTCGAGGCCAACATTAAAACACTCCAGCCGACATAGTGTGATAAAACCCGCAATTGAAGGCAATCCGCATGGAGGCTGGGTCAAATGGCCCACAGGCCCAGTTACTCATCACTGTCAACCAGAGCCCACTCTGTGAAGTTTTAAAATAATATAGGCGTTCCGGACATGCTGAAGAAATATATGTATTTACCAAAAATAAACTATCCGGCGAAATCAAATAAATGTACTGCAATGAACTCAGAAAATTACGTAAACTAAATCTTGAACAATGATGTTCAGGAATAACTGGTAGAATATGTAACCTAAATTTGAATTTAAGTAACATCTTGTTTAGATTGTAGTACTTTTATTTAAAACTTTACCTTTTCATACCTACAGCCATACCAGCATAGTTTTCCCACAGGGTTAAAAAAAGTTAACCAGGGGCACCTGAAGTCCTACTCTTGAGTCCCTAACTACTAGGTTTTTAGGCCTGGAAATTTAGAATCGAACCTGTTTTTCTGGAAATATTGATATCAATCAAACCCTGGTTTTGTAGAGCAAATTTCAGAATTGTTGGGTTATCATTTTGTTTTGATTTTTTGTTCTATTTTTAGGAGGCTACGTGTCTTTGCATGCACCCCGGTGCGGTTGAGTCGTGAGTCGTGACCCCGGTGACTGGCGTCTGGCGGTGACATAGGTCAATAATTTGATAAGAATTCTTTTGAAATCTTCAGAAAATTTCTTCGCACTGGGCCCTTTGTTTTAGGTAAAATTTGAAATTGTTTTGAGTCATTTGATTTTTAAAAGGTTTTTCAAACGAGTAATAATAATTTAAATAAAAATTAATTCTATTTTTGTACACCCAATAACTCGTATTGTAAAGTTCTATATTACTCTGTAAAAAGTATATTGTCCGGTGTATTCACTTCTATTGTACTTTGGAGCAACTGGGCGCGCTCAACGAATTTGGGCGCGCTCTACGAAATTTTGACTTAGTAATTCCGATTCTTTTAAATTTATAAACTGGTGAAAACTATTTTGGAGACTAATATAAGCATCCAATCAAATCCTATTTAATATACCTCTCGCTTCCATGAGCTGCTATTCATTCTCTCAATACTTAATCGATATCCTTCAACTCCTATGGTGCGTAATAATTTATGCCTAAATACCTATTTGTCTGCAGTCTGCACTGTCTGCAGTCACTCTCCTGCTGGTGGAGTCTTAAATGCACGATCTGCATGGACCGTCATACTGCAGAGTGTAGGATTACTGCAAGTACTATTAATAAAAAAATATTGTAGGTCCTCGACCAAATTGTGAACTACAGTACCTGTTGAAATATTTTATACTTCAGCTGCTATATCATAGAATCACTTCTCCTATTGTTTTAAATATTTATCGATCTGTATATATCTTAAGTCTGCCGTGATAATCTGTATAAACCTTTAGCTCCGTGGTTAGTTGGGTTTGATTAACAGACTATGGCATCAATATGAATATCAATGCAGGCTGGGCAAGTGCACCATTTCTACTACAATTTTGTGTCAGTGCTGCTTCATTGCTTGCCTATTAGTGTAATTCAAGTTTATGTGCCTATTCAGATGTTCTTTTCTGGGATACAATGTTCGTGCGGTAGCATATCTGTGACAAATCGTTCCGAGTCTGCGCATCTACGTACATATTATTCATTGCTGTCCGATAGTCTTCGGCGATTCTCCTGCAAGTATTTACCTTGAGCTCGGATATTTGCTTCATTTTGGACTTGACTTGTTTCTTTGGGGCAAGGGTGAAGATGTGTCAGTATCCTAACCGATGTTCAACGGCGCTGAGTTCATTAGAGTTTGAACTTACAGCTGATGTGACAAAACAATGCGTGATATACAGTCGCTTGGTGTTGCGGTCTATTGACTATGACTGTGCTTTTCAAAATTTTGAGCGTAGGAATAGCTTGTGTATTTTCGCGAGATTGCCTGCACCATCGCTGTATTGAATTGCATAAATTTATTCCTATCTAACTTGTTCAGATCGCTGCGATTTTTGCGATCAAAAGACACGCTATTGTGCTGATTGCAGGACTCACGGAAAAAGCGCGGTTACATTGGTCGTTGTCAGGATCGGGACAAACTGCAACACCTTCCACCTTAGACTCTGTCTCAACGCCCTGTGCGTACAAGCGACCAGCATCTGTAGCATAGTAGCCACCGTCAACATACTCGGCAGTGTAATAAACTTCCTCCGATACTTGCTTGCGGCGCTTGTTCGACCCAAACTGCATGGCTAGGCCAGTGAAGGGAGTGATTTTTGACATGGCCGCAGCAACGTCCGCAATTTTTCTGCTAGCTTTTGATACAGCACCAGAGTATTGTCTTTGCGACTCGGCAGGCAGTCCACGGCGACTCTTACTCTCCATTATTCCGGTTCCATTGAATGAATCGTACTCGCTGGAGGTGTGGTTTAGCACTAGAGCCAAGTGAGCAAGTGGCGCGTGATAGACGAGACCTTTCATCATATCGCTACATACGAGTTCGCGACATGGTTTGTTGCCACATATTTGACTTTCTGAAAGCACATCTGGCAGCGGTTCAGTATGCTGCAAATTCAGGGGGGGGGGAATAGTTAGGACTTAGTGCACACAGTAAACCAAAACTTGGAAGCCTGCGCGAGTCGCATTTCTCATAAAATTTGTGTTTTTTTATACACATACGTTTGCGATGTTCCTTGCGTCTTGGGCATCTTCACGAAGAGCCTTCATGTATTTGGTGGCCGCTTGCCAGATACCCCTACACCCATGATCAAAAGTGTCGCACGTATTGCTGGAGAGGCGCAGGGTAAGACCGGTTGTTTTCTGTATTTTGGGTATAAAAATATGTCAATTAGAAATATCTTGAAGGCCAATATGAACAGCGTAATGCACTAAAAGTAAAATCCAAGTTCGTAGAACTAGCGCACATACATTGTATGAGATGTACTTGGTCCAATCTGTATTGCAGGCTAAGCACATTAACCCCGCATTGTACTCGAGAGTTCTGTCCAGACACCGCCCATAAGCAGTCAGTGTTTCCTGGATCCATCGCCTGGTATGTACCATCATGCTCTTTAAAACATTAGAAAGTTCCTTAAGTCTCGTCTCGACAGGATCTTCGCTTTGAAACGGCAGCGAGTCTAAAAACCCTTTCACATCGTCAATTGCTTTGTCGAGGCCCGACTGGAGCTCGTTCACTTCGACATCTCGCATTGCCGTCAAATTTCGGATATTCTCCGCGGTATCTATGAGTTTTTGTCGCTCAACATTGAATTTTGTGCGTAGCTCATCCATTGCGACCGCCGTACAGCATGAACTATTGACATTAGTGCACCGAAACATACCCTCCACATTCCCGAGCATTACTGGGTGTGGGTTGTTGATAATACTCATGGAAAGGTTCTTGCTATATGGATTCCCTGGCATATTAACAAATGGCAATAGAAGCGGATTACACAGCTCGCTCTCGTCACTCGTCTCTACAGCAGCAACTGTGATCGGTATTCCTGCAACGAGAAGCAACGCTAATGATATCTGCATGGTGGTAATGTCAATCGTACTCAATGCGATATAGTGGCCCTGTCTATTCAACAGCCGTAAATAGTAGCCCGCTTAAATATATAGTATGGCACGCTATGATAGGCAGCTCATGATACGAGTATTTCCGGTCCTTGCCCTCTTGATCTCCTGATCAGTGGTCTGGCGATAATATTTATTTATTTTACGTTCTATTTTTCCTGGGATCTGGTCAGTTGTCCCCCGAGTCCCTGAAGTCAGAACTTCTCACAAGAAGTAATCTCTCGTAGCCTCCGTGTTTGGATTGTTTTCTGGAAGCCGGAAGCTTGAAGCCTTGAAGGTCATGAAGCCATGAATATTTCAATTTTTTTTTAAACATTATAATTTTTATCTCCAGCCAGAGAGCAGAGAGGCTTCAAAAAGGAATGTTCTCTCCGTACATGTGACCTCACCTCTTGAATTTATTTCTTGAGAAGATTTCGAGTGTGCCGTGGAACTGTCTTGTTTCTATTATATTTTATTTATTTAAAAAAAACCCCGTACATAGATTGCGCTCATTTTGTCTGATTTAGAAGGCTACGCTCATGATTAAAAATATACACTTACGTATACTCATATAGCGTGAAGTGTAAGGATATCTCAAGCACTTGATCTTCCCCCTCTGGAGTGAGGTATCATTTGTATGATATGTAGAATCAGCCGTCGTTTGCCACCAGCTATCTAAGTGGGTGGTATATTCGAGAACGGGTCTTTTCCAACAATAAAGCCGCAGATCTGATTGTTCTGCCTTTAGTTCTGGCAACTGAAAGTACACTGACTCCACGGCTCAAGCATTCGTATCCAACACCTGATCATTACCCCAAAAAGCTTGTGCTTGACGAATCTTACGATCATACAACCTTAAAAGTTATGTGATATCAAGTGGCACATACAAATACATATTCTCTATGTAAGGTTGGATACAGATATACACATATATATGTATATATTGATTTAAGCTTTATATATATATATATTGTGTGCTTCACGCCCACTGCCTCTCGGTATCTCCTCTCGAGCTCAGTCATTATTTCTTAAGTGCTTATATTTGTGATTTTTTCTGTCTATGTTTGGTTCCACGCTACTATCTGAATCCTGCGTCTGCGACGAAGCCATAGGCGCGCACGTGTGTGTATGTGTCAGTGTGTCTGTGTCTGTATATATATATATATATATGTGTGTGTGTGTGTGTATGTATGTAGGTATGTAAGTAGGTATGTATGTATGTATGTATGTATGTATGTATGTATATATATATAGGTGTGTGTGTGTGTGTGTGCGTCTATATGTGACTGTGTATGTGTGTGTATATGTCTGTA